CAGGAACAGTCTGGCTATGGAAGATATTTTGCACCTCTCTCAAGTGTGGAGCTCCTAAGGTGTATCAGTGCAGGTCTACATCCTGTGGACTTTGCAAAGCATGCAGGGGGGGAGGTTCAGAGAAAGTGTCTCGGCTTTCTATAAAAATATACTGGAAAACCACTGTGCTAATTTAGCCATGCATCGGTGAACAAGAAAGCAATCTTCCCTGTATGAAGAGTAGAAAGTATACCAGAACCCACTGAGAATATGTCCTTCATAATGTCAGCATAGAATAGAATACTGGAACTGAAAGGGACCTCGAGAGGTCATCAAGTCAGTCCCCTGCCCTCACAGCAGGACCAGTACCATCTAGACCATCCTTAATAGAGGTCTATCTAATCTGCTCTTAAATATCTCCAGAGATGGAGATTCTACAACCTCCCCAGGCAACTTATTCTAGTGTTTAATCAACCTGACAGGTAGCAAGTTTTTCCTAACATCCAACCTAAACCTCACTTGCTGCAATTTAAGCCCACTGCTTCTTGTCCTATCCTCAGAGGCCAAGAACAATTTTTCTCCCTTCTCCTTGTGACACCCTTTTAGATACCTGAAAACTGCTATCATGACCCCTATCAGTCTTCTTTTTTTCCAAACTAAAGGAGCCTAATTCTGTCAGTCTTCCTTCATAGGTCAAAATGAAAGTCATAATAAAATGAAAGTCCATTTTTTAAGAAGCACCCATCCTCCTTCCCCTCAAGACACTTCAGGCATATTTCAGTATAAATTTTGACCTCCAGCTATAGACTGGTCCTAAAAGAGACCACCAGTATTTTCATGTGGGGGGAAAAAAACAGTTACTCACCTTCTTGTAACTGTTCTTAAAGATGCACTGTTTATGACCATTTCAATCAGGTGTGTGCGCATGCACTCGATGGCCAGATTTTTCCCATAGCAGCATCCGTAGCCTGGGCACCTTCTGGAGTCACGCCGTCATGGTGCCCAATACAGACCCATCACCCCCTACTTCGTGTTACCAGCTACTTCAAGAGCGGTAACACGAGCGGTAGGAGGGTGGGTATTGAAACAGGCATGACCACCACATCTCAAAGAACTGTTATGAGAAGGCAAGTAACCTTTTCCCTTCTTTCAGTGTTGGATCACATCAAGTATAGGAGATGGGGTTGGAGTTGTCTACTGACTAGAGCATTGCTCTTCTAAAGGCTGCAACATCTCTGACCTGCTGGGACATTGCATAGTGCATGGAAGTGTGTATGGAAAA